TAATAACTTTATTGTAAAAAAATTTTAAATAATTTATATCTATTAATGTTTCGTTTTTAATTCGGTCCAGAGGAATGACGATTCAGGTTGTGAAACGCTGAGTGCATCTTAATTTATACATTTTTTTACCTTAAATAATTTTAGTTTTAAAAAAACGACATCAAAAATTAACAATAGAGGTGTTAATTGAGTTAATCAACTTGATACTTGATAAATATCTCCTCCTGTATTAAAAATATTTAATATTAATCATCAGGCCAGAGGAATGACGCGCATTTAGAGGACAAAATTAAATTCCATTCTGTGAAAAATATATAAGTCCGATTTTTTTTATATTTCGTAGAAATGTTCTACAAACTTATATCTTTCAGAATATATCGATTTATTACTGGTTTTTAAATTCTAAGTAGGTCCTTTATGTGTTGTAGGAATAAAAATTAGTCTTGGGACATGTCAATTAACCTAACTTTTTAAGTTAAAATTTAAAAAAATACATTAAATAATTAAAATATACAATTGTTTTTCGTAGGATTTTTAGAAAAAGTAATAAACTAATGAAATATGCATTACAAATTTAATTAATTATTACAAATATTGAGAAAAACATGAGGACATATAAAAGTAATGTTCGTGGAGAATCACCCTTTAATACTTTTTAATGGCGTTTCGACGCATCAGAAAACGGGATTAAAAACGCATTCAAACTATCAATACATTTAAATACTTTTGAATGCGACGTTTTATGTAGGGTTACTATGAGTGCTTCGCTAACTTTATATAAACTGTAACGATCCTTACGTTTACTTGCGGATCTTACCCGCGAATCGTTACAAAAATGGCAATTTACGGATTCCAAATTGCTGAATTATAAATTCCACACTTCGAACTTATAATACACCATCGATGACCCGTTTTAGGGAACTTCCCCGGCGCCAGGTAGGTAAACTACCCGGATCACGATGCTGTAACAAAACAAAGAACTTTCCCGGACTAGCTCTTACCGAGCTCAATATTTTATTTACGAAGTTACGTTTTATATTGAAATAATAGGGCGCGAGTACCGCACACAGAGGAGAGAGACAAGTTGAATTTAACACACAAATAAAACAAATGAATAAAGAAAATTATAAGAACACACAAGCAGATTATTTTCTTTTAAATCACTCTTCTTTTTATTTTAAACTTTGAACTGTGTGAAGAGAACTGAGAACTTCCACACGCCGGTGATTGCGACGGTCGACCGAAAATGGCGGCGTCCTATCGGCTTGCCATGAGGTCTTCCTTCTCGATACTATTTCTCGGTCACACCGTACACCGGTGATATTCCCAAGACAACGAGGAAGATGGATACTGGACACTAACCTTTGATTCGGTCCAACCGAGCACGGAAATCCATCTTTTAATATTTTGTTAAAGAAAATGACCACTGCGGTGAAACCGTATAATTCAATCGGCAGCCAGGCACGAACTGTCGAAATTAGGTTAATTGACATCCTGCTTCGGTCCCGTATATATGTCATGCGCACCTTGGGTTCGCCCCAGCAGCATGATAACAGGCCCAGCATCTATGACAGGTGGTTGCCAGTTGACAGTAGATTTGTGCCGATTAATATTAATTGTTGACACATTTTCGGTCGGTTGATAATTAAATAACAATAAATAACATTGTGTTTTCTAATCAACCAAAACGTGTGGAATTCTCTTGAGATAAACAATATGATTTTTATACAACTCAACATTTTTGTATTATATTGATTCTATACAATTCAACAAGATAATAATAAAGTAAAATGTTGAGTTCGATTCTGGCTACCGCATTTAATTTATAATAATTAATCAAGAATTAACTGAATAAGTTTCGGCGAAAACTAAATTCGGTTTTTATAACGTGATTATTTAAAATCAACGTTACAAAACTTAGCAAAACACCTATTATTAAAAAAAATTAAGGAGCGACAAAATTTTTTTTTTCACAACTAATTAGCGACAAAAAAACGGCAAATTATCATCTATATGCGACTTTAAAATTTTGAAGTTGTTTCGCTAAGTTGATGTACATCAGGTCCCCTCAACCCGAAAAACATGGTCCGGCGAGTCCGTCTGTCTGTCTGTATGTATGTATGTATGTATGTATATATGTCCGTCTGTAGACCAAAATGTTGTTGACACAATAACTTTTGAAAATCTTATCTGATCGTTTTTAAATTTAACACACTTAAAGTTGGTGTAAAAATGAAGGTTAAGTTCGTTAACCAGCCATTTTCGTTGAAAACTACAAAAACTACAGTAGTTTCAAAATTTTGAAAACTCAATTTTTTAAAATTTCAGAATTTTTAACTTTGGAAGGAGTTTGAAGCGTAAACAGTAAGCGATTTTATTTAAAAAAAAAATTTTTTAATCGATTTTTCATTAAAATGCACTCCAAACAATTCTTTATGTGATACTTTACATATCTTCGTAAACCCGTGAAATAAAAATAATTTAAAATCCTACTGACTGTTTTATCAATCCCAAAATGGCTACAGAGATCATTATTTCTAATTACAATCGATTTTCTCATGGCTCGAGGGACAACATACAATTCTCGAGTTTCGTTATCTACATCAATCTTCCGATTAAGTAGTCCATCATTTAAAACATAGTCGCGAACGTTATCTTTTTCAATTTTTGATCTATCGGCACTACTTTTTCGCAAAATATCAATTTTCTTTCCGATTTCCTCGTCAGACCTTTGAAACATTAAAATTTCGTCTTCTTTTGTCTCAATCAACATTACTCTCGAATTTTCGCTTTCCTCTATTGGCGCTCGAGATAGCGCATCTACATGCTTCATTCTCTCCCCACTCCTGTGCCGTATTTCAAAATCAAATTCAGAAATTAAATTAATCTATCGTGCTTCCTGTTTACTTTTTATTTTCAATGAATTTAAATTTAACAAACATTGACAATCAGTAATTACAACGAATTTCAACGGAATTAAAAATATTCTCAATCTTTCTAACGCCCACGCAATTACCTGAAGTTCGAGTCTGCTCGAATGGTATTTTTCTTCTGCTTCATTAGTTCTGCGACTTATTGCGTACACTAATTTTAACGGCTCATCATTTTCATCGGCTTGAGAAAGCATTGCTCCTAGCCCTTTCGCGGACGCGTCCGTATGTAATTCCGTTCGATGTGCTTTTGGGTTGTAAGCTTTCAATACTCGCTTTTTAACTAAACAATCTATCAATTGATTAAAGGACAATTCGCAATTCACACTCCAGTTAAATTCGATATTTTCTCTGAGTAAATCGGTAATAGGTGAAGCAATTTTTGCGTAAAACGGGATAAAACGCCTAAAGAAACCCGTTAACCCTAAAAATCGCCTAACCTCATGTTTCGTTGTTGGTGTCAGAAAATTCCTAATTGCCTTAATTTTTCTCTCACCTGGTTGGATTTGTCCGTTCCCTATAAGATATCCGAGATATTTGACCTCTCGCATTCCGAATTTGCATTTAGCCAAATTTAATGTAAGTCCTGCATCTTTTAACAAAATCAAAACCTCTTCTAATCGATCTAACAATTCTTCCTAGGATTTACCAAAAATGCAAATATCGTCAAAGAACTTAAATGCAATTTTCTTCCTTCTAGCTATTCCCAAGACGCGATCCATTAGTTTTGCGAAGTATTTCGGCGCGTTAGCTAACCCGAACATTGCATGTTCAAATTTACCGGTTTCGTTTTCTGTAATAAAAGAAGTTAGATTTTTAGCTTCTTCACTCAAAGGCATTTGTAAGTATCCACTCGACAAATCAAGAGTTAAAAAGAAAATCGCTCCATTTAAAAGTTCGAGAAGATCATCGAAATTCGGAATCGGATAATTTATTATTATTGTGGCTTTATTAACGCCTTTATAGTCGACTATCATTCTTGGAGTCCCATCTGGTTTCCTAACAATAAATGCCGGACTGCACACCTCGGCATCTGTTTCAGTTACTATTCCTGCACCTTTATATTCGCGTACCAAATCATTTAAATCCCCTCGATCTTCAGAATTTAACCTATATGGTTTTGCTTGTGGCAATTGCGAACCTTCTTTTATTTTGATTTCCATTTTTATTTTATCAATACACCCTATTTCTATCAAACATGTCGCTGAACATTCGCGGTATTTATTTAATAAAGTCAACAATTCGAGTATTTGTGCTTCGGTTATTTTCTCGTGAATATTAATTTCAAATAGTTCAATAGGACTTGTTCGCGGTTGTCTAACTTGCGCTTCCTCTACGGAAAGTATTTTCTCTCCTAATTCCTGTCCTATTTTAATTCTCTCTTTTCCCTTTCCTTGATTATCTATCATAATACACTTATCACCGATATCTGTTTTTATATTTATAAAGTCAACTCGACCAGGAACTAATTCCTTCACTTCCATTGCGATTAATTTTCCTTTTCCTTTTGTCAAATCATTACTTTCAATTCGATCAACATTCACAAATTTTAATTCGTTACCCACGCGAGTGTAACAAATTTCCTGTGATTCAGTAAAGGGACGACCTAAAATAATGTCAAATGTTTGCACAGTATCGGGTACAACTCTAAAATGCAAGTGCATTGGTTTTAAATATTCAAAAGTAATAATTTCATTTATTATTCCCGGTGATTTTTCTGGTTTATTACCAAATCCTTCAATCATTGATGTTAATTTCTGCATTTGAAATTGTTCGCGTAAAACTACAGTCGATTTAATTGTATTTACAGATGCCCCCATGTCTATTTGCGCAATCAATTTAACCTCACCAATATTTATTTCTCTAACAAATTTTTCAATCGAATTTTCCCTTTTTTCTGAACACATAAACTTAACTTCTTCGATTTTTACACTACTCTTACTCGGACAGCGAGTAGCGATATGACCTGGAAGATTACATAAATAATTTCTTTTCTGTCATTTTTACAATCACGCGCTATATGACCTAAGCCATCACATTTATAACATTTACGTTCATTTACAAATTTACCTGATTTTACCATTGATTTTTCATCGTACTTCGGACCTTCAACCATCGGAAGTCGTGGAAACGTTACTGCCTCACCTCGTTTTCGTCCTGGATTTCCCACCAATTGACCTTTGTACTCACTGATTCGTTCGCGTCGACTGCTATCCATTGATTCAAACTGCACCAGATCATGTAGTAAATCGTCGGTGGTCTCGTATTTTCTCCCAATAGCGTAGTTGGCCATATCTCTCCACCAAAGTCCCTGAGCAACTTCATTTCTGATCTTATCCAAACTGAGATTTAATCCCTTGCACAACCAAACTTTATCCAAGAAATAAACTTGTACATGTTCCTTTGGTCCTTGAAATCGTGCTGCCATCTCTTTTAATTTCGTGCTAATGGTTCGAGTACGAGTAAATGTTAATTTGAATTCACTACACTGAAAAAATGTTAGGCCGTTGGCTGTACTGGTTCCGAAACAACCAGTTGCCCTTTCAACCAGCACGTCAGACGTCCTTTTTCAAGACAGTAGACATACTTCTTCAGCGCATGCGTTGTTCTGTGGTTTAGGGAAATAGCTATCAGCACGGCGGTTGAACTGAAAAAGTAAGTCTACTGTCAAGAAAAAGGACGTCTGACGTACTGGTCAGAAGGAAAACACTTGTTCTGGCGTTTTAAGAGAACCAGTACAGCCAACGGCCTAAAACTTTTTCAGTGTAGAAAAACTGTTAAAACTTGTCACTACTGCTGTCTTCGTCATAAGCCACTTGAAAGCACCTTTTCTTAACCGAGATTTGGCAACACTGTATGCCACTGCGTCACTCCAGTTATTAATATTTTTCGTATTTTCCAACTCTCTAATCCAAGCGCTAGCTCGATCCGGGCTTTCGCTCCCATCAAATTCCAAAATTGCATCTGTGCTTGCTGGCATCATCATGTTGGAAGTATTTTGTTCCATTCTCTGTGTAATTGCAACAACAGTTTTCGTAAGTTCCTGTTGAAATGCGTTGTTGTCCTGTTGTTCTCGATGTCTTCGGTCTAATTCAACTAACTTTTCTTGTTCCGCTCTAATCGTCGCATTTTGATACGCCCCTTGCTTTTGAATCTCTTGCTCTCTAGCAATCCATTCTGCTCTAGTAGCAGCTTCCCTTTTCTGATAATCTATTTGCATTGCCTGAATATGATTATCGAATTTAGCTTTTTCATCTAATCTCAGCTTCTTCAGTTTTTCAATCTCCTGAATAGCACGCCTTAACTCATCCGCATCATTCATAGTGTTGTTATTAATACTTTTATTATTCAAATCCTTCACAAACTATTCAAACTCGTCATCCACCAGTTTTTCTTTTTACAATGCAAAACGACCATGCCTCGCCACTACTTAACCTCACTTCTTAAACACCTCTTGAGTCCCGCACACAGCTATCACACTTCTGAATTGTGGTAAAAATAAACTTTATTATAAAAAGATATTTTAGGTACATTTAAATTAACAAAAGAAACTTAGAGCTCGCAGCACACTGCCTTACAATTTCATAGAACATGCACACGTTTCTCTCAGTCGGCGTCATTCGACCATTGTTTTCTCTATCGCTTTCGTCTCCTCTTACGTACGTTTACCGCGTCTTACGTTACATATATTTAACTCATTATACGTTATTCATTATATTTTAAATTTAATTACAACATGTTTGTCGATACAATGAAATTAGCAGTGTCTCTCAAAATGCAATTCTCAGTTACACTAACAAAATTCATCATCTTTTTGAGTATCGCTGTAACACATGGCATCTTAACAAGCGAAAATTATACTCGAGAATTAATAAAGTACCTGAAGGAAGAATCAAAACTGCACCAGGTAATTTTTATCATTGACGATCAACTACTTCTCAATTCAACTTCAAGCACTAATTTCCAAATCACTGAAGTTTCGCAACACTTTCCATCATATACTTTTAGTATGACTAAACTACAATTAGAACCACAAAACACATTCCCATCTTCTTTACAACTACCAAAGCGAATACGACGTTGTTTATCATGATTCTTAATGGCAATGATCCTACAAATTGGGGTAAAGTATCATTTACACTTATGTTGCTAAGGAACTTGTCACAAGGATATTCACATCCGAAATTATTGATAAACTTCTTTGCGGAAGAAAAATCTAATTTGATTAGAGGAATATTAGAAGTTTTATGGAATTATCAAGATTTCACAGAAATTGAAGTACTAGAGCACTTGCAGGATTATAAAAAAAACTTTGACACAGGGGAGAGTTAGACAGATCATTTTGCATGAAATCAATGAATTTGCAAAAGTCTACACAGCTCGGGAATTAACATCACAAACAAAATGGTTTCCAAACAAACTGCTAAACCTTAACGGACATAAAGTCAGATTTATGTTAAGTCACTTGAATAATCTTTTGACTGTTGAAGATCATGAAAATTTAATAAAATTTGCAAGAATTCTTACACATTCTTTGCGTACTTTGAGTATAATTATAAATATTAAAACTGCAGCAATGAAGCCTATTATCAACGCGCTTCAAGTACATAAAGCAGAAATACTGTTAAACGTTGCAAATGTACAAATCAAAAAAGACGACTATACACAGTTGATGCGAGTTATAAGATTTAAATCCTTGATGGCTATCATTCCTGTTAACGCAAAATTGTCTAACGTCTTCGAAATCTCTCATGAATTTGTGTACATGGTAGTTGCTACAACCATTGCGATTTGTGCTATTCGATTTACAGCTTTTATTATGAAATTTAACAAAAGCACTTGGCAAATTTTTAACATTAGCCGAATTATAATTGGGATGTCTGTTGACAGGGAACCGAACAAAGTAACAGAAAGAATTGTTTTTGGCTCATTAATACTGAGTTGCATCGTCTATTCCAGCTACTTGTTCTCCGTAATCTTGGACATCACTTTTCGAAAGGAGCCTGAAATTTCAAGTCTTGAGGAACTAGCAAATTCATCCTTGACGCCAATGTTAACCTCCATCGAAAACATCTCATTGTTATTAAGTTCAATCAGTTATATTCGAAAACTGGGAATGAATTCTATAAATATTCCAGATAGGGGATTATCAGATGATTGCTTGACCTATTTAACTAAGTATGAAAGTGTAACTTGCATTATTATGAAAAGTAGAGAAAGTCTTAATAAGTTTAGAAGAGATGGACATGACTTAAATGTCAAAGTTCTGCAAGAACCCTTGGGATTTTTAATTCGGTCTTGGGAAGCAAGAAATGGATCTCCTTTTATTGATCATTTTAATAAAGTTATATTAGAAGCTTCAGAAGCTGGTTTACTGAAAAAATTGTTGACCACGGATGATAGAAATGCCGTCAGTTGGCTCTCACCGACAGAAGAAATTGGCAAGGAAACATTACGACTGATCGTCTCTTACTTGCTTGTTATCGGATACACTGTTTCAATAATTGTCTTTATTGCTGAAATGATTAGCATTATTGTGTGTCGCAAACTTAATGACTTTGGCGTGCACTTTCTTAATGTTAGAGCGAATTAAAACAGAGCAGATAATCAGGAATGTAAAATTTTTTCGAGATATATTATAAAAAAGAAAATGTAATTTTGTTTTTAAATGTTAATTAACACAAAGAATGTGCCTCTCATTTAAACTTATAGGTTTTTAATATTACTATTAGTAGATTTTCAACTAATTTTTAATATTTAACATTAAATATATGCTTTCTTTCTACGTGATAATCCGCTTGGAAAATTTTAATACTAATGATTAAAAATTATAATTATTTATTTAATTGAATTACAAATTGATGGGATATTTTCTTCTCAAAAGCACCGAAGCAGATGATATTATTTATTGGGATTTTTGTTTGCGTTTCAATGTAAAAATTGTAAATAAAGTATATGAGTAAGAATTCCTGAAGTGTAACAGCAAATTTTGAGATTTACTGTATTTACTTGGTAATACATGAAAATGAAACATAATTATGAGATAAATAAATGCCTTGAAGGATTTTTCAAAAAAATTAAATTTCACTTTGTTATAAACAATTGAAGTTTTTTGCAGTGTTTTATTAAAAAATTAATATTTTGGAACAGAATAAACGAATCGTTATAAAATTTGGTATGTATACTCAGAAAATGATGTAGTTTCAAATGAAATAATTAAAAAATTAAATTGTTTAATTTTTGTAATTGTTATTGCAAATTTAATTGTTTATTTGTAAAATAAACAATGTTCTTAACGTCGTAGGAAGTTCGTTCAAATTTCATCGTAAAGGCTTTTTTATAACGATTCCATACCCGTTTTGAAATTTGGTGTTCCGCAATAATGAACAAAGTTATGAATTTTTTTCTGCCGGGCGACACGTTTGTTTACCGCGCGGCATGTCCACCGTTACCGCAACGTCATCGCCAGCGCAGCGCATTGAACAAGTAAAAACACGTTATGCGTTAGACTACCCTAATTTTTAGCGTTTTGATCGGTGCAATTAATTTAACACTTTTTTGAAAAGTCTTTTTCTGTTAAATTTCAAAAATTTGAATATAAAGGTGTGAGCTTAAATTTAGATGTAAAAATGTAGTAATTATTTGGTGTTATTTCTCATTGAGGAGCTGTTAATTAATCGTAATATTTTTTTACTCTTTAACATTTTATACGTTCGTGTGTTCTTTATTAAAGCCTGTGTAATAAGTGTTTATTAAATTAAATAATTATTGTTTTTAAAAATAAAAAATGGCACCTGTGAATTATTGCTGTAATCCATTATCAAAACCAAAACATAATTCGGTTTACAAAAGTGTCAAGCTCGTTACGAAGAATTGGAGTCCTAAGTACAAATCTTTGATTGGTAAATACATTTGTGATTCCTGTAGGTGTAAAATTATTAAGGATAATATCCAAATTAAAAAATGTGTCTCAAAAATTTCCAAAAATGAAAAATGTCAAGATACAAAGGAAGATGAATCAGGTAAGAATCATAACATAAATTTTTAAAAAAGTATTATTTTATTTTTATTGTTTTTTGACAAATTCCATTAATAATTATATATTTATTTACCTTTTATTTAATATATATTATATAGTTGCAGATGATTTTAAGAAAGACCCTACATATGAGAATCCCAGAGTTGATCAGAACTTGAAAATTGAAAAAATTAATACTATTCTTGACGATTACAATATACCAGAACGAACAATAAAGCGTCAAAAACTATTCTGTGAAGACAAGAATTCTGAGGCTCCAACGATTTCGAAGATTTTAGAAAAAGTAATAAAGCCAAAGCCAGTATTAATGAGCGATAATTTTATTTCTGGCGTAAAAAACTCTTTATTAACTGCAGAAAGTTATAACCAGAAAGTAGAAATCCTGACAA